TAACATGAAATCTTTAATCTGGTAATATTCATGTGAGTTATTCTTAGTCAGACACTGAGACCTCGATATTTCATGACGTTTCTCTATTCACGATTTGGTCATCGACGTCGACGGACCATGTTTTATGCAAAAAACGTAGTTATAAAATATTTCAAGCATCAATAATTACACGGTAGCTAATGAAGCTAGGTACACTACAAGGGCCGCCACATACGACCGCGTCGCAGTTGTCGCGCGGTCTTGATTAGGCAATTGTGAGCTGTGCGGGGAGCGGCGCGATCTCTGCGGTTAGCACTAAATCGGCGCAATTATCCTCTCGTGTGGGCCCACGTTAAGAAGATTGCAGGCAACAATTGTATTGATATAATTTAATTGAGCTACGTGACTTTAATCTATGTATACTTAGACTTGTCAATCTAATTAAGCATAAACACACGCTACCCTGTGACGTCAGACGTCAGCAATCACAGTATGTTTTCAAAAATGCTTATTGTATTAAAAAGCCCTACACGCTTTAGGCTATATATTTTCACGCTATAAAACTTAGGAGGTAAATAAATAAAAAAAAATATTCATGTGGGATAGGGTATATAAACCACAAGCTGACAACACAAAGGAAGAAAGGTTGCCATGGTAAAGATAATTTTGACATTTCCATTTGAAAATTTCATAAATGTAAACAATAAAATAAAGCTTTTATAATTTCAAACGGATGAAGCCGGGAACAGCTCGTTAATTATAAAGATTGATGAGTACGTTTAGATTTTTGAGGTGGTTACAATTTTTTACCTAATATATGTCAAATTTATTCATTAATTTATTCGACGATTTAACGTTACTTGTAGATTTAATCCCCTCATTATCGTACTCCCCCCCTCCCCCCAGTAGGGCATTGCAAACTAAAGACGCACAGAATATAGAGATGATAATTGAAATGATCCCATGATGATGGAGTCTTGTGCGGATTAGAATGTTGGAACAATGGGACATGCAACGAGGTGCGGCTGCGGGAGCGCGGGGGCGCGGGGCGCGGAGCGGTGGGGAGGAGGGCGAGCTGAATGCACCCTAACGAGCTGCGAGCGACTGTCGAGAGCTGCCTCTGAACAAGTCATGGAAGCTTCAAGCGACATTTATTCATAAATTCTGTTACAATTGGTGAAATCATGGCAAGTTAGTGTGAGCATTTATTATTTTACTTACTTTAATGGAAGAACCTTATTTATGCAAATAAAATTCGAGAGGTACATACAAATGGGTCAGGTCAACAAAAGTTTAAGTGTATCGAATGTTCTTGGGAAAATAATCTTACTGGGAGTCGTTTCTGCCTCTCAATACTAGATGGCACTATGACGAGAGTTTATTGTTTTAAATCCCGATGTTAAAAGTTGTGTATCGCCACATATTATCTTTCCGCATACT